AAATTTTGATTTTTCATAGTTTATTATTATATAAATATATTTTAATATATAGATTTCAAAATAATTTAAAAGATAAAAATATAATTTCTATTTTTTATTTTAATGTATAATAATACATAGTAATATTCAAATATTATTAGTACTATGTTGTACATTAAAATAAATAATTTAAATAGTAAGATAAATAATAATAAATTAATATAAATAATAATAATTAATAATAAATTAATAATTAATAATTAATAATAATAATAATAATAATTTAAATAATTTAATAAATATAATTCCTACTATTCAAAATACAAAATACGAAAAACTATATGAAAAATTATATGTCATAACAAAATATTTTTTATTTAAATATTATTATTCTTATTATTTTAAAATATATTCTAATATTCTATATATTATAATATATATATACTTATAATATATTATAATAATATATATATATACTTATAATATATTATAATAATATATATATATATACTTATTATATATTATAGAGTTATTATATATTATAAATACATTTTAATATTCTATATATTATATTCTAATTATTAGTCTTATTATTCTAAAATATAATTAAATATTGTCTTTATAAAAATAGAAAAACAAAATTTATAATATTTAATTAATACTTACGTGAATCTTAGTTTTTGTTTTATCTTGTAATTCTCTTATGTTACTACCACTTTTTCCAATTAATTTTCCAATTTTTTCAGTATTAACTTGTATTACAAACTTTTGATTGGAATTAGATGAAACAAAATTTGAATAATGTTCTTTTTTACCAGTTCTATAATTTTTAAAATTATTTCCATTGCTATGTTTTGAATGAACTTTTGTATAATTTTGTTGGAATTCCATTCTACAAATAACGCACAAGCAAAATATATTTTTATTTGATTTTTAGAATTATATAAATTATGTAAAATTAAAGAATAAAATTATAAGAAAATTAAGTTATATTATAATGAAAACTATAATTGTATTTTTCTTAAAGTTGTAATACCTTTAATACACTATTGATTCTTGAAGATCAAAAATCTAAATCAACAACTTCTAAAAAACACTCGTGACGATTGAAATGGCGATTCTAACCACTACTAAACTACACAAACCACTAAACGTTCACAACTTCAACCGTTTTCGGAAAAAAAATCTTCCCAAAACAGACTGCTGGAGTTGCAAGCAGAGTTGTTACTACTACCCTACTCTAGCTATTAACTAGCGTGGATAAAGTTCGTCGGTTAATAAATATCCGTAGAAAAGTAAAAGAGTGGGGAAGTAATGTTATACCACGTGACTTAGTCGAGCAAATCATCGCCTCTCGCATGTGCAACATTACTCCCCCACTCTTCTATTCTTCAAATCCCTTTTGAATTTGCCACATGCATGATTGAAGGAGTGGGAGAAAGTATTAGTAGTGACAGAGCTTAGAAATAAAAGGAGGGAGAATAACGGGTATTCCATTTGTATTGTATTATCAAGGAAGGGATGAAAAGAAGAGATGGAAAGAGATAGAAAAGAAAAAGAAGGGAAAAGAAAAGAAAAAAAGGAAAGAAAGGAAAAATCTTATTTACATATTTAAATAATTTCTAATTCAGGTAACAAACAATGTGTAGTAAATAAAATAAATTGTAGTAATGTGTATATAACTTTATATGAGATTTTGTTTAATTGATTGTATAATCAATGAAATTGATAATACAATATTAGCGGCATTTATTATTATAAGTATCTGATTTTATAAACTTGTATAAAAGTCTTTTAAATTTTAAATTATAAAAATCTTTTATTTAAAAAACATATTTATTATTTAATATATTATTACTATAATATATATATATATTAATACTATAAAATATTATTTATAATCTTTTATTAAAATTATGTTTAACAGATCAATTCATTTATATATTTTATAATTCATATAGACTGCTGAATAGAATATAGATTCTTCCGTGATTGATATACTTTATCACATGCTTATTTATTTTAATAAAAATATAAAAGTATTTTCTAAAGTATGACATTTGTATTTTTTTTTAATATCTATGAAATTTAATTAATATTTTTAGTTAATGAAAAATAAAAATTTTATATTTTACAGAATCATTCTTTTATTAGAGACTTCAAAAGCAATAGTTGGGATCCAATTCACATAATATTATATATAATAACATCAAATATGAAAATCATGGTTAAAAAATCATTGCTTTCGAATAATACTTCTTGCGAGAGAATTATTTTATATATGAATTTTTTTATATTAATAATATTAAACTTTTTTAAAAATAATAATGTTAATAAAATTTTTAATATTTCTATACATATTTGCGTTTCACTTACTATTCCGTTTTCCTATTTTATAAACTTTATTTATATACAAAAGAATTATACCTGATTTTATTACCCTTTATAAAAGATGAAAAAGAAGAAAACCATTAAATCTATTGAAATTTTCAAATTATTATAGGAACAAAAGAGAAGGGAAAGGAAGGATTTATTTAAACAATTTCTACCACAGGTAATAAATAATATAAATTATAATAACGTGTATATAGCTTTACACAGACGAAGTTTTATTTGCGATTTTATGAACAACGAAACAGATAATACAACATTAAATAGCGGTATCTTTCAATATAAATATCTGAATTTATAAAAATCTCTTAAATTTTAAATTAAAATCTTTTGTTAAAAAAATTTATTTAAATTGTTTAAAATATTATTTACAGCTTTTTATTAAAATTATAGCAGTTCAACTCATATAGATTCTTTCATAATCGATATATTTTATCACATGCTTCTTTATTTTATATAGAAATATAAAAGTATTTTCTAGAATGTGATATTTGTATCTTTTTTTATATATTTTTTTATAAATAATAAAATATATCTACAAAATTTAATTAATGTGTTTAGTTAATAAGAAATAAAAATTCTACATTTTACAGGATCATTCTTTTATTACAAGCTTTAAAAACAATCAGGATCTAATTCTCAATATTATACATAGTGACATCAAATAATAATATTATTGCTTTCGAATAATGTTTCTTGCAAGAGAATTATTTCGTATATGAATTTTTTTATATTAATAATAATTTTTAATATTTTTATATACATTTACGTTTCATTTACTATTCCATTTTCCTATTTTATAAATGAACTTCATTACATTGTATACAAAAGAATTATACCTGATTTTATTATCCTTTATAAAAGATGAAAGAAAAGAAAACTATTAAATCTATTGAAATTTTCAAATTATTATAAAACGAGAAGGAAAAGGAAAAATTTATTTAAACTATCTATTATTTAAACTGGTAATGAACAGAAAAGTAAATAATATAAATTATAATAATATATATATAATAATACAGACAAAGTTTTGTTTCTGATTTTATAAATAATGAAACAAATAATACAACATTAAATAGCGGTATCTTTTAATATAAATTGAATTTATAAAAATCTTTTAGATTTTAAATTTTAGATTAAAATCTTTTTAAAAAAATTTGTTTAAACTTATTTAGAGTATTATTTATTTTTTTATTAAAATTTTATTAAAATTATACATAGCAGTTTCATTGATACTATTTATTTTAAAATTCATGTAAATTCTTCTGTGATCGATATATATTTTATTCACATACTTATTAGTAGAAATATAAAAGTATTTTCTAAAGTATGATATTTATATCTTTTTTTTATAAATAATAAAATATACCTAAATTAAATTTAATTAATGTGTTAGTTTATTTTATTAATTTAGTTAATGACAAATAAAAATTTTATATTTTATCTATATTATATATAAATCTTTTTTTACAAAATCATTCTCTTATTAGAGGCTTTAAAAGCAATAGCCATGATCCAATTCATATAATTACAATATTACATATAACATCAAATAATGATACCATGCGAATCATGATTAGTACTTTCAAAATCTCTTGAATGAAAATTGCCTTATATACAAATTTTATAATATTTTTAACAATATTAAAATTTTAAAAATAATAATGTTAATAATATTTTTATATACACATTTACATTTTATTTATTCTTTCCTATTTCATAAACGCGCCTTGTATATAAAAGAATTATATCTAATTTTATCATCTTTTATTTAAAAGGTGAAATAGAAAAAGAAGAAAAACATTACATCTATTGAAATTTTCAAATTTTTATTCTTTTAATCACCGTAAACAAAATATACCGTTAAGGGATAATGTACCGTTAAAGGATAATGTACCGTAATAAAAGTTTCTATTTCGTTATTCTATAAAATTTATGGTTTCTAAAATTATATAGATCTTCACATTATATATTTATTTTCTATATTGAGGATAGGGATTAGAAATATTAATTTACATTTTTACAAAATTTAATAATAAAATGTAATATTTAAATTTCTATTTGTATTTAACAGTTGCAGTAAAATAAAAAAAATATTAATTAATAAAACTAAATAAGAATTAAACTATGATCAATTTATTAAATATTATTTTACAAACAGGAATTATTTGATATTTTAAAATTGTAAAATCCTGTTATTATGTAAACAATATCACTATAGAGGCAGTTATAATTTAATGCCTCTTGTATTATATATTTCCTGGAAACACTCCGTTTGCAATCTGTTCATTCCATTTTTCTATCCAAGCATTTGGGCACATCGCATTAAATACTTTTTTGAAATATTGACATGCTTCATAATCTTCACCATGTCGTTTTTTGCAACGGTGAAAATCCAAAAAACTAGTATAACAATATCTGCATTTAAAATAAACAGAAATAAATAACATCATATTGAATATTTATAAATATTGGAATATAATATCAATTTGTTCTTTGTTTACCTTGTCTGGTTTTGATTTGGAAATCTTGGATCATATGGTGCTGTGTTTGGTTTCAATTCGATGGAGGGAGTTATTGGTGTCGCATTTCCAAGTTCTGTATATTTAACCATATTGATGCTGCTTAACAAGTTACAAGTTATTTAATCTATTATATTTATTGAAAGCGCTACAAACAGTCACCCTCCCTTTTTCCCACAAGGCAAACTCTTTACATGTTTGTCTCTCGCTCTAGTCCTTTTGTCTCTTGCATCACTTAATACACTATCACAAACATTAATTACTTCTTCACTTGCAGTCCGTATTATATTAATAATATTTTTTAAGTTGAAATATTTAATAATTTGATACTATATATATCTATAATTTCTCATTAATATATACTGTACATTCTATCTAATAATTGAAAAAAAGAAAAAATTTTGCTTGTATATGTTTTTACAGAGATTTTTCTTGTTAAATAATGAATAGATGTACTTAAAAGCTTTCTCAAACTTAAATAATTTTAGTACAAGTAGATGTCTTATTTAAACTTGGTTCATAGCTGTTCTTCTATATTTAAATGCAACCATAATTTAATTAAAAAAACACAGCATCTTTTGAAAGCACATTCATTGTAGATAAAACAAAGTAACAAAATAGGAAATAGAACTAAAATCAGCTATTTAACCAATGGTCTTGTGTTGTCTTCTTCCTGACAACAAACTTCTCTGTATTTTTTCACTTCAGCCATATATAGTGACCAGGCATCCTTAGGTTGTTCAACAGTTTGTTCAGTCTTTGGCTTAGCAACCATTCCAGTTTTTAAAATTCTGCCTCCTCGCCTCTTTCCTACCATTAAAGGTGGAGGAATAACAGTCTTCTCTTCCAAAACAGAAGTCATTGGTTTTTGTGCAGGTTGCATTTGTTCCTGCATTTTTTTAAACATTTCCATAAAGCTACCATCATTTTTAAAAGCATTAGATTGTGGAGGAACAACTGGATGAGATATAGTTGTTTCTGTATTATCTTCAGCAATATCCGATTCATATGATGGTGCTCTATGATATCTACGGCTTTCTCTGCCTCTATGTCTATCTTTACTTCTATTACGACTACGACTACGTCTCCTATCTCTAGAACGTGATCTTCCTCTTGATCTAGATCTTGATCTATCTCTTCTAGAATATTTTCGTGATCGATCTCTATCTCTATCTCGATCTTTGTCTCTATCAGGAGAACGAGATCGTCTGTGTGATCTACTTGGTGGAGATTTTGAAGTACTGCGTCTTCTTCTACGCCTGTCCTGTGGCGAATCATTTCGGGATGTTCTACTGCTTCTATAGTCCGAAGGTGAAGGTGAACGACGTGATGACATTCTGTTTTTGTACCCATCATATGTTGTATAACTTGCACTATACATAGGAGGCGAAGGCGGAGCTGGTGGTGAATCTGTATTGGACTTGGAACTGCGTTCATGCCGCTTTGAATCCATTGTTGCGCTTGTGTGCCTCTCTCGCCAGGCTGAATGGATAGATGGACACCTATAAGGATAGAAACTGCCTTCTATAAGTACACTGTCCATTTCTTCTTACCAAGCCTTTATCTGATTGGTATTTAATGTACGCGTTTGCAAGAGACAAGCAGACTTATAGCGAGAGAACAAAATGTATTTTAATTGCCATTAACATGAATAAAATTCAATCAAAGCTTAATTAAGATTTTATCTTCAGTTATATTTGAATTATTGAATTAAACTTTATCTAATCATTTATTATATTATAAAATATATTATAAAAAATCTAGCTTTGATTGTATTTTTATTTAAATATATTTTAATATTTTATTACAAATACTAATTTCTAATAAATAACCTATTTTTTTTATAAAATAATTTTATATTGTTATATAATTCTATAATTTCTATATTTTGATATAATGATGTTTATAATATTCTTATTTATGAAATTAGAATTTAAATCAGTTGCATTGTATGATAATTTAAATCTAGTAGTAATGCCTATATTAAAGTTCTGGAAAATATATGAATTAACATTTGATATGTTAAAAATTAATATAGAATATATTTTCAAAGATAAATTTCAAAAAATTTCAAAAAATTTAATAACATTGATTTACAATTAAACGTAACATATATTTTTTATTTTGATATTGTAATGAAAAAAATTAGTAAAATTAGCTTCATTATTTATTTTATTTATTATATATTAAAATATTTTAAAATTTTCACCGACATAAGCAATAAAAAGAAAACAAAGAAGCATAAAAAGATAAAGGACATAAAATTTGATAGAAAACCTTTATCCATAATTAAATATGATCTTCAATTATTATATAAATTAGTTTCCATAAAAATATAAGTAAAGTTTCTATAAGAACTTTCTTAAATATGACATTGACTATATTACAGTTACCTAAATAGCTTATAATTACACGAAATATCTTTATATAAAATACCTTAGTCAGCCGTGCGATTGAAAACAAAATGGCCACTAGGCAAACTGCGCCAAACTGTTACGTCATACATGTATGTCTAAGCACAGTTAAATCTGATTTTGAGAAGATTTGTAAGAGTAAAGAATATATTTCTATATTTCTCCGACAGAGTTCGCTCAAAATTTAATTGTATGAAATTTAATTTTATAAAATCTTTTACTCGTTAGAACAAAAAATATCAAATTATTATTAATTATTAAAAAAAAAATTTTAGATATTATAAATGAACTTAATAAATTTTATGTATTTTATATATATATATTTATATACATATTATATCACAATTAATTAAAATAAATATTTTATGAAAATTTTTATAAATTATATTAGAAATAATATCCATTTACAATATAAAAGATGTTAAATTTTATTTATTTATAGTAATATTCATAATGCTTTTCTTAAGAAATAGTATTATTTGAAAATATTTCAACAACAACAGTTAATAATTATTAAACAATTAATAATATTAATTTACATAAATTATTAATAAAAATTAATAAAATATTAATAAAAAAATCTTGGAATATTTTTGAAAATTATAGATAAGAATTTGAAAACCGGATAGAAAATAAAATATCTATTAAGTAAGGATGATATTTGATTCGAGTATTCATATCCGGTCTTCCATTTTCTTTTCGTCATCATCGCATATAATTGCGTTCTTGTTCAGTCACGTTTGTTATCGATCTTGCGTTTTTAGTAATTGTAAAACATTTAAATTGTATACGAGCGTTCGTTAGTCTGTACGTTATATAATATCTTCATAGAGTTTTCATTTCGTCCATCGTATTTTGGATTATCGAGTGCTAATGCGTGGTATTTCAGAAAGCTCTCCGACTCGCGCAATGGCGGAGGATTTGGATGTCGAGGCAATGCTGGAGGCGCCATATAAGAAGGGGGTAAGGCTTAATTTTTTTTTTTCTCTTTTTCTGTGTGTCTCGGTTTGTTCCTTCGAGATCCTGATTTTTTTTTTATCCTATAAAGTTTACCTAATCTCGACGCACAAGAATCCAATACGGTGCGTACCGTTTTAGATATGTTCTTTTGTATTGCGATCGAGAAAAATGAATCGTCCTTTCCTTTCCGTATATACATGTAGAACAAAGTACGTCCTTGTCTCATACCGACTATTGATCAATACCTCCGTTTTCTGTACTTATAGATGGTACGTAACATGTACCCTCGCGCTCGTAGGATGTTCGGCAGCGAGTTCCTAGAATGCACTTGAAATACGAGGTATTAAGAAAAGCCATCACTAACATCATTTTTACTTAATTCTTTTTTCTTTATTTATTTCTGATTTTTTTTAATTTCTTTTTCAAAATCGTAACGTTTATTATTTACGACGTAGATAGAATTACTATTGCCACCATATCACAATTATAAAGAGACAAAAAATATGTAAAACGAATATTCTTTATTAATTTATATAAAAAGAAAAGAAGAAAATAAATATGAAAGATGGATCTATTAGGTGCTGTTCTGCCATGTGCCATGCTATTCTATTAATTTTTATTATATGTGGAAAAATGAATTAACTGGTTTGTATAAGTATCGAATACCTTTTGTATGTAGAATCAATAGAATCATTGTCTATAATATCTTTTGCGATAGAAGGGCATAATTCCTATTGATTTCTACTATATTTTTTTGCATTGTTAGGTGGAACAATAAAGGTATTTGTTGGATTTCAAAATCTCTAGCACTCCCACATTAGCTTTGTTTTCTTTCAATTCATAGGAAATTTATTAATATATCTTTCTTATAATTATATGTTGATTCTCCTTTTGTATAGAATTATATATTAATATAATTAATTATGAATAATTGAAAAGACAATAGGTAATGAAGAATTATATTTTAATTAATATAAGTATTTGTAGTATTTTAAATTGCAATATATATACATAATATAAGAAATGAAATATAATTTTTATTAAAAGTTCCACATTTTTTACAAATAGGAATATATAATCAGATGTAATTTATTTGGCAAATTAAAATTAAATACTTAAATATATTTTTTAGCATGTAAAATATATATTAAGAAATAATATATTCAATATATTATATATAATATTAAAATTATTAAAATCTATTTTTTTATTCACAAAATGAACTTTTATTTTTATTAACTATATGATTATAAATTAAGAATGGTAATATATAGAATGTTATTTTTTGTAATGCTTATCATTTTTCGTCAACATAATGTATTTTATTTCAAATTTGAAAGTACATTATTAATATTTCATAAACAAAATGCATGGTAAATTGGCAAGCAGGAATAAATTATATGAGAAAATCAAATGAGAAAATGTTTTAAAATTATGGTTAAAATTATGGGAGATTGATAAATTTAGGGGATCGGTTTTATTAATGATAGATTGAAAGAACATCAGTAACATATACATGTAACACCATTATCATCATTTCATTGTATTAATGCCATATACCATGTGTATGTTCGCTTTTAATTATGTGAAACATTTTCTCTATACAGCTAAATCATCTTGTGATATATCTACTGGAAGCTGCAAATGATCGTTGATCGTTTTATTCCTATTATGAGATAATTCAAATCAATTATACATTCAGGGGCTATAGGTTAGCAATTAGGGTTCACATCTCGTGTTACATTAAAAACGTACTGTCTTTGATGAGGGCTCTCTTTTACAGAAGAAAAAGGATGTGTGGTTGGCCATTGGTAGTTTAAAGACCAAGGCATGCTCAACCCAAGATTGCAATGCTTTCCTAAAACCCGATAAAACGATTGGTAAGTTTGAGCCAGGTGTATGCGAGGCGTCGCAACACTATGCTCGCCCCGTCTCTGTCTCTCTCTCTGTCTGTTTCTCTCTCTCTCTCTCTCTCTCTCTCTCTCTCTCTCTCTCTCTCTCTCTATCTCTATCTCTATCTCTATCTCTATCTCTCTTTTTCTCTTCTCTCTTCTCTCTTCTCTCTTCTCTCTTCTCTGTGTCCTCATCTCAGCCCCCTCAGACCAATATAATCAACCTGGAAAAAGAGAAAGAGCACGAGAGTGCACCATCGTCCAGCAGCAAATAGATCTTCGATAACAGTGTTCAATGGAGAGTTATCTACATGGTTACAAAATTAAAAAATTTTTTTAAATTAACAGAAGACAGAACAATTCATTATTGATATATTTTATTTTGAAACTACTGTTAAAATTTAAATTGTACAATATGTACACAGTTTATCTTTATAAAATTTACTAACGTTCTATGATTTGCTTTTTGTCCCCTTGATCGCGCGTCCCTGCCACATCGGCTGGCTGGCATGGCATTCAACTGTTTGCTGTTCGTAGGAGCAGGACTCCTCAACCAAAGACAAATCATCCAAGGAAAATGGGTCTAGCCGTAAATCATCTGGGTAAATATATTTTAAGTATTATAATTAATACAAATGATTTGTGTTTATTATCAACATTGTGTCCAATAGATCATTACATGATTTAAAAACATATAGTAATTTCTATATAAAAAAATATTTTTAGTTGATTCTAAAATTAATTTTATCTTCTTTTTTTCTTTATAAACCAGTACAAATATTCACCATTTATGAAAATAATTTAATAAAATGATATGCTGAATTTAATATGCTTAAATTTATCCCTTTGATTTATTACCAATTTCTCATGTATGTCAATTCTGAATGTTTCTTGTTATTTTTATTAGATTTTTATATATTAGTTTGATTTTTTTTTAATATCTAAAATATAAAAAATTTTATTTTAATTAAGAAATAATAAGCAAATGAATTTCAAGATTAGTTATTCAAAAAATATTATAATTTATGAAATAATGTAATTAATGAAAATGATAACAAACATAAAAAAAATTAAGTTTTGATTTTTATTTTATTTTATTTTTTCTATATATCATTGTTAATTTTTTTGTATACAATACTATCATAGTAGATATTTTAAATAATACTCTCTAAAAAATAAGAAAAATTTAAAGAAAAAAAAATTTTAAGAAAAATTATAAAAAAAATTAATAAAAAAATGAATTAGATTTTTTAAGTTTTTGTTTCAAATAAATTAAACTTTTGTTAAGAATTGTTTTAAATAGAAAATGTTTTTAATTACAAAAATATGATTTTTTATAATATTTTAAAATTAAGTTCTGATTCACTTTTCTTATGTAGAATGATTTATAATATATTAAAATCTTAAATTTTTATAAATGAACTACTTTGTCTGAACCTTTAGCTTTATAGATTGAAATATATATTCAATTGTCAATGAATATTTCAAACTATAGTCATTTGGTACGTACATATAGTTGTTTGAAGTTATATTCTCTTTGTTATAGACCCCATACAATTAGTGTAAATGCTGGTTATTTTCATAATTCCAAAGGTTAGACCTGAAGATGGTAAGTGTTTAGGAAGAATATCTGTAATACAGATTCTGTTAAAAATTAAAAATGTAACCAAGAAAAACACAATAATAAACAAAATAAGAAAGGTTATTAAAATATGAAATATTTATTAAAAATATTATTTAATAATATATTATTAAATATAATGATGTTAATTATTCTTATAATATTGATTAATTTATTTGTTTATTTTATATATTGATTAATTTATTTTTATTAAATGCGTACCTTTAATTATATCATTTAATAAATAATTATTAATATTAGCTATATATACTTTTTTGTTTCTTCATTATTTATTTATCAAATTATATAGAAAGTATAAACTGATAAAAATTTTGAATAAATTTCTTTATTACTAAGGGTTCGGATTAGTAAGTTAAATTCTATGACTTAAAATATTACATTATACAAAGTAAACTTAAAATAATCAAAATTCATTTATTATATATTCAAATAAGCATATCACATATATCGCATATATTATAAATTATAAATTACTTATATAAATTTTATTAAAAAATATTTTAATTTAAATTATTTATTTTTTTCTTTATAGGAAGAGCAAGCATCGTTCTCGTTCCCGTTCTCGATCACGAGATCGTCGAGAGAAAGATCGTCGCGATCGCGATCGAGATAGAGACAGAGAAAGAGATCGTGATAGGGATAGAGATCGTGATCGCGATCGTGATCGTCGACGTAGATCAAGATCAAGAGATCGGAGAGACCGCGATAGAGACAGAGACAATAGTGATAGAGATAGGGATCGTCGGGATAGAGATCGAGATCGAGACAGAAGAAGAAAACGATCTCTCACACCAATTACACTTCCTAGAGCAAGATTACCATTTGGAAAAGGTGTCAGTCCCCTTGGCATGTAAGTCCAAGCGATTTTATTGAATATATAGAATGATATAAGAATAATTCATTCTAAAGTATAAAATTTTAATATAAAAATTTTTATTAAGAATTGTATATATGTTACGCCAAGGCAAATTTATGACACGATCAACAACATCGCTATTTTTGAGAAAATCCATTTTTTTTAATTTTTATTTGTTAAAGGTTCAAATGGGTAATTTTAATTAGCCAATTAATACATATAGTTTTAGAGTCATAAATCAGTTTCAGGACTCAATAGCGAAGGCCGTGCCATAAATCTTGGGCTTAATGAAACGAATATTGTTAATAATTCATCACTAAGCCTAGTAATACATCTGTTAAAAGTTTTAACTTCAACTTCAAATCTCAAGAAAATTCACAGAGTCAACACTTTTGTATATTGGATCTCTGTTCCTTTTCTCTTGACACAATGGATGCAAAAGGATCCAAGAATAAGACAGGCTGAAGATCTTAAAAGTGTCAATATTTTTCTTTTTGAATAAATTCAAATATAGATTCAGATTCAAGATTGAGATACATCAATATTCACTTTGTATTCACATTCGCAAAACAAAAATAATTCGGAAATTTATTCATTTGATTACAGTTACAAGTCATATTATAAATATCAATTCTTTAAGAAGTCAATAATAAAAAATATAGTTATATCATATAATTTCGAAAATAAGACAAAGATGTCAATGAACATTATAATCTAAATATTAATCTGTATCCACAACAATTTCAAGAGTATCATTCTAAATATCTTTATATAATATAATAAGTAAATTTTAAAAATGTTAATATATTTTTAATTTTTATATTTTATATTTATTTTAGCAGAAATGATGAGTTAACACCAGAGGAACGAGATGCCCGAACTGTTTTCTGTATGCAATTAAGTCAGCGCATACGTGCTCGAGATTTGGAAGAATTCTTTTCCAGTGTTGGGAAAGTTCAAGATGTCCGACTTATAACATGTAATAAAACAAGAAGATTTAAAGGTATAGCATATGTGGAATTCAAAGATCCTGAAAGTGTTACATTGGTAAGTTGAAATATAATTTATATTTAATATTAAATTTATTATTAATTATTAAATTTTCTTTTTTCATAGGCACTTGGTTTATCAGGTCAAAAGCTTCTTGGTGTTCCTATAGTAGTACAACACACTCAAGCCGAAAAAAATCGTATGGGTAATTCCATGCCAAATCTAATGCCAAAAGGACAAACTGGACCCATGAGATTATATGTTGGATCTCTTCATTTTAATATCACAGAAGATATGCTTCGCGGTATTTTCGAGCCTTTTGGAAAAATTGACAATATTCAATTAATTATGGATCCCGAAACTGGACGGAGCAAAGGCTATGGATTCTTGACTGTACATATATATATATATTATTATTAATATATATACTATTATTAAATTCAATGTATTCATGTGTTTATTAAAATATATTTATTTTTATTATAGTTTAGAAATGCCGATGATGCAAAGAAAGCTTTGGAACAATTAAATGGTTTTGAACTTGCTGGAAGACCTATGAAAGTTGGTAATGTTACAGAACGTACAGATTTAATACAAGGTCCATCTCTTCTGGATACAGACGAATTAGATCGAAGTGGTATCGAACTTGGTGCTACTGGAAGGTACAATAAAATTAATTTTTTTTTATAAAAATTAATCAAATTACATATAATGAACGTTTAAAAATGTTTAGGTTACAACTAATGTTTAAGCTAGCAGAGGGAACAGGACTTGAAATTCCTCCTGCAGCTGCAAATGCATTGAATATGGCTCCAGTTATGTCAACGCCACAACCACCTCCACAAGTTGCTCCTCCTATAGCAACACAGTGTTTTATGTTATCGAATATGTTCGATCCCCAAAAGTAAGTTATTTTTTTAAGATAAATAGAGATAAGTAGAAATTTTAGTATATCTCTAGATCTAATGTTAATTAATTTTATTTCCATGAAATGGAATAAATTATAAAAAAATTTCATATATTGTTATATATGTTAGAAATAATAACATTTTTTTTAATCCTTAGATTTCCAAGTGAAGATTCTAGAGTCTCATGAATTTTTATAAAGTTTAACATTTTAAATATATCCAAAATCTTTAAAATATTACTATATATTAAAATAACTTAAATTATAATTAATAAATTATATATATAATATTAATTATATAAATAATTATAATTATAATTAATAAATTAAAATAATATAATATTACTATTATATTAAAATAAATATTGAACAATTTTAAATGTAAAATATAAATATTTTTGAATATTAAAATATTTAATCCTTTGCTCTCCAACGGTGACAGTCAACATTTGAGTTAATGCTATAATTCCAGCGGTGACTCTCCGGTACCAGTGAGATTATTGCGGCAATTTGAACAGCAACAATATTTATGTTTGATTTTTTTAGAATATCGGTTTATAAATAGGTTCCTAAGCTCTTTACGTATAATCTTATGAGGTGTAATCTTATCTTATAAGTAATTATCTTATGGTAATCTTATGAGACCATCGAACGCATCACGCGCGGGTCTGAGTCTGCTAGTTCGAAACAGGAAGTGCGAAAGAGTGCAAAGGGTTAATATAAATTTTACAGAAAAAAATAAAATATTTAATTGTGGAAAATTGCAAATTTGATATTCTAAGGATTAAACGGTCAGAGCATATTTATAGGCCCAATGGTAATTACTTTTCTTTCCATTGAGGGGATTGAATATGCTAAATAAACTATGTTATCTAAAAACAAAATGTCATATATATATCATATTATATGTATATTCAAAAATGATAACATAATATTTTTTTAACTTAGTATTAATTCAATTAAGATTAGTTTAATTAGACTTAAGTTAATTAGGAATTAACTAGAAATAAACAATTTAACTTAGAATTCTAAGTGGGGTCATTAAATTCACAGATTTGTTAAAAGTAAATTATTTTTAAATTTAAATCATTCTGAATGTATAAAATTTTTAATAAAAGTATAAATTAATATTTATATTAATTAATATTTAGCAATTTTATTAAATATACTTTTATATTAATAATTATAAAAAATTTTAAAACATAAAAAGAAATTTGTAAATTTTGCAAAATTGTAAGAGAAATTACGCTGCTTAGTGTTCTAAGTATTAAAAGATAGGGGCATATCTGTAGACCCAGTAGTAATTATTTTCATTCTACTGGAGGGAATGAATATGCTAAATAAACTATGTTATCTTAAAAAGATTTCATACATATTGTTATATGTATGTTAAGAAATGATAACATAACATTTTATTAAATAATTAAATAATGCTTAATAGTTGTGAAAATATTAAACTTTAACAAAATAAATTTTCATTTCAGTGAAACGAATCCAAATTGGGCAAAAGAAATTCGTGATGATGTTATCGAAGAATGTAATAAACACGGTGGTGTGTTACACGTCTATGTGGACCAAGCTTCCCCTCAGGGTAACGTTTATGTTAAGTGTCCGTCAATAGGAACAGCAGTCGCAGCTGTCAACTCATTACATGGTAGATGGTTTGCTGGCCGAGTAATTACAGCCGCTTACGTGCCAGTTGTAAATTATCATTCGTTGTTTCCGGATGCGATGACCGCTTTACAGTTATTGGTTCCGAGCGCTCCGCGAAGGGGAATGTGATCTTAAACAGTGCAAATGCCAATTACAAATATGTAAATTCATATAGTATTACATTTTTACAAAAAAAATTTTTGTTACTATAACAAAATCGTTAAGTGTCGTTTCAGATTATACAGGTGTTACAAAATAACAGCGATGCATCTGCATAAAATTTTCATATATGAAGATAATTATTATTTTTTTGTTTTATAAAAATCTTCTATTATTAAGTATCTTGACCAATTAATACAAACTGAAAACTTATTTTTAATATATTTCTAAACACTTTAATTAGAATATAGAAACAAAATTATCTTTTGAACAGTTATTTATTAATATAATTCAATTATAAAAAAGTATTTATGTATATCTACTCGTGTATCGACTTATATTTCAATAGATTCAGTGCAGCAAAATCAAATGACTATTGCTTTATTTAAGTATATATGCAGCAAATATTTAATTATTCTTTGTTATTACCTGTAATAATTAATAAATTGAATAATTTTTGACGCTTAACTTGTTAAAGTAAAATAAAAGCATTGTTTTACTTTTTAAACTGAAAACAAATTATTATGAATTATAAACAAAGTAAAACGATTAATAGATAGTAATTCTCAATATATGTTGAAGATGATAATATATATATATATATATTATAATATATATATATTATATTATATATATATATATGTATATAATAAACTTTTCTTTACAACTTCGTGATTGTTGGAAAGTGCACAGCAGAAATTCTTTCTTTAGAAGATAATAGATATGATGAAGTAAATAGAAAATTCTTTTTTTAAAAAAAGAGAAGATCTGCAGACAATGAATGTTATTAATAAATATATTTTATTAAATGTAATAATGATAAATATAATGTTTAATTTAAAAAAAAAATATATAAAATTAGTTTAAGGTACTAATTTATACATTGGTCTTTTATATATATACATAATAATATACATGTATGATCTTTGTTATTTAAGGATAATTTGATGAGCAAATTTTTAATATAAAATTTAAAAAAATATATTTATAAAAACTCTTTATTAAGAAGAATTAATAGAATAATTAATATATATAAGACAATGAGAACATATACATTAATCGATTCTATCGAATCGTATTTCTTTTATTCCTGCAGATCTTTATTAATTAAAAAAAAAATTATTACAATAATTATGTAAAAAATTTTGTAAATTATCACTGTTCCTTCATATATGATAATATACTATTGCAACTTCATATTAAAATGTGAATGTATACTTTCGTAATTATAAATTAAAAAATTAATGTGATAATATCATATGGATGTGAGGACTTTCTAGAATATAAATGTAAATGCGCAAATAACATTTCTTCGACAACATTTATTCATTTACATTACTTTAAGTAAATTGTAGTATAATTAAGATTTTCATTTCTTATTTTAGAATAGAATATAAAGATTATTTTTTAACTATTTGCTAATTATGTATTTAATAATTTAGATTACAAATAATATTTTGAAAAACAAAAAAATAATTTTATTGTGTACGTTTTATAAAAATTCTACATACAAAATTGAAATTATTATTTAATAAATTAATAATAATTAAAAATAATATATTTTGAATCATATATAGTTAGATTAAATCCCTTAGAAAAAAGTGATAAAAATGTGAAAACATATTTTTAAATAAATTTGTAAATGTCAATTTTGATGATATATATTTTTATTTTAACCATTTTAAATCAACACACAATGCTATATGATCACTTGGGCATACTATAGATGGAAGACCAGTATATGTACTAAGTTCTTCTTTACTTGGCATTGGTATAACTTGTTCAACTGCCAAATAATCTGTTTGATAAAATATATAATCTAAACAACCAGAAAAGGTAGCAGTATAATTTGTATATTCTGGAATACCACATGCACTAGCCAAGTTTAAATCATGTTTAATAGATATATTTTGCACATGTTCTTGAGGATCTATAATGATAAATAAATAAAAAATATGTTTATTCATTTTTATACATTTTTATAAATTATATAAATTATTATAGAAAAGAAGAATAATAAAACTAACCAGATATCCAATCACTATGATTACTTGATACATAATTTTGGGTCATTAATTGGTAAATTGCATTTTGTGGTGTACTATTAAAATCACCGCAATATAAAATACTGACATTGCATTCAGGATTCTGTAAATTTTTTATGTATAATTAAAAATAATATTATATTTTTAATAGTAAATTTATATTAAATATTTCACAATTTTTAATTCATTAAAATTTTCCATAAATACCTCTTTTTTTATTTTTTTAGAAAATGTATGTAAATATAATAAACCATAATAAGCTTGTAATAACCGTATATGATCTGCTTTTAACCGAAAATATAAATGTGTATTACCAACAATTAAGATTTCATCATTTTCTTTAGATCGAAGTACTATTGACTGTAATATATTATGTATATTCTAATTAATTATATTGAAATATTAAGTATTATATTGTATCATATAATAAAAGAATAATCTTATTTGGATACCTGAATAATTGTATTTCTGTTTAAGAATGTTTGTTTTATACTATCATTCTGAATTTGTGACCAAACAATATTAAATTCATTTAAATTTATACCTTGAGAAATAACACTATAATTATGAGATAATTTATCAAATTTTTCCTGGTTATAAAATATAGCAAGGCCTTCTTTCAAATCATTTTTTAAATTATATACACTATTATAATTTAATGCAGTTAATGACAGTTGTAAATCGTTTTTATAAATTGTAGCATCTACTTCTTGAAGACATATTATGTCACTGTTATATCCTATAGAAATTCAAAATATCAAAAATTAATTTAATTTGTACAATGAAATATTTATTATATTTAAGTTGAAAGAAAGAAAAATAAATACCTATTAATTCTTTAAGAATTAGTAATTTTCTATAATCCATAGATAAAGCATAATGTGGACAATATGGATACAATGTATCTTTGGAAATAGAAGTTTCTGAATATATATTTGCTAATATGTTATATGAAGTTACTCTGAAACTTCTGAAAATTTTGTTTTAATAATTATATAATATATTTTTAATAATGATAAAATGAATAATATATATTGAATTAATACTAACTTTTTATTACATAATTTATTTTTAGTAAAAGCATGTCTAGTATCAAAAGGACATAAACCAGGTCCAATTTGAACGACATTATTTGATATAATTTCAATCAGAGGTCCATATTCCATATTATTTCTTGGTATGCATGATATCTTTAATTGACATCCTACATCAGATATAGTTGGAACATAAAAGAAACCTTCTCCCACATGTATCCATTTTTTGTTTTCTTTTTTATACCAATTAAAAATTGAATTTACTTTATTCACATTTATTCCTTCAAATTTAGAGGGATAAATCGGAAAACCAACTAAAATGCTTGTTGGTAATTCTATTTTTGAAATATAAGGTACATTTTGTTTCAATACATATTCTGTATCAAAAATCACTAATTTTATGTCTGCATTATTTTCTAAAATTGATTTACATGTTAAATCACCATTAAGGATAGAATGATTTTTTATAAATTTTATTTCATTATCTTCATTCATTATATTCATTTCTATAAAATTTTCATTGTGTTTTTTTTGTTTTCGATAAATTGTTTTTATTATATATCCATAAATATTTTTATGTATTCTTTGAATAAAACAATTTATAGATTCATCCACTTGCCTTTGAAAATTAAATTGTCTATTCACATTTAAATCAGGATTAACATAACGAAATGACATTTTAAAATTTTTACTTCCTTCTTCGTGAAATAAAATAGCTTCATTCATTTTTAATTGTATTATTGCTTGCGAATAATTTTTTAAAAGTGTATTTTGTATTTTTGGAAATAATGAAAAAGAGGTTAAGTATCTTACATATAAATTACGAATTAAGATTATCATTTTGTAGAAACATTATTTTTATCTATTTTTTAGCACAATTTTTAAAAAAACTATGAATGTTTAAATATACATACACATATATGCGTAAATAAATTGGAAAAATGTGAAACCAATAATCAAACTACTTTTTATATCGAGAATGAAATATAATGTTCGAAACTATTAAACGCCATCTTTTGAAACTACACTAATACAAATACAAATACAAACTATATATTAATACAAATACAAATTAATACAAATTATATAATAAATATTATTGATAATTAATTACATTATATAACTAGAAATTAAAATTTTTTAATTTAGAAGAATTTCAGAAAAAAAATCAAAAGAAAAAAAATATTATGCATAGAAAAATATAAAAATATATAAAATATATAAATATAATTTAACAGAAATATATTTTAATGTTATTAAAACAAACATTATTTGAATATGTTATCTTGTCATGTATCAGGAAATATTATATTTTGTGAGATCGTCATTTTAGAAAAATATATCTTAAAATTTAGAATGTATCTGTATAATATTTATATTTTTTACATTAAAGATTAGGAAATATTATAATTTTAAAAGAGAAATAATAAAAATATAAATTGTACTTTATCTATGATTATATGCAAAAGCAAATAAATAAACAAGAAAAGTAAATGATGGTAAAAAAATAAAGATATAATAAAAATTAAAAAATCATTAAAAAATTAAAAAATCAATGCATTTCTAAAGTACCGTAATAAATAATATATATATATATATATTATACATTATATATATATATATATATATTAGTTTTTGATTTATAACTATGTTAAAATAATCAATATATGATAATTTATATAGATTTTTTAATATTTTGTTATATATTTAGTTAAATTTTTCTATTTGCTATAACATTTTATAATAATTTATTGATTATATAATATTAATTATGATATTATTGTAGCTAAATTATTGATGTACTAATTTTATTTAAAATATATTTCAAATATTTCAATTTTTAAATAGAAATTTAAAATTTATATATTATGTGTCATTTCATTATATATTGTAAAATTGATAAATTATATTACCAAAGTAACATCTTGTCATAGTTGTTTATTATATCTCTTTTCTTGTTCCTGTGTAGGAGTGGAATAATGGAATTATGTAAAATGCTAAGAAGCTGTGTAACAGATTATTGTCCAAACAAATGGTAATATCAATTGTATTACAACCATGCCACGCCTTGAATTTTATTTATTGTCTCTAACTTTGCATGAGGATGTATTATTTATTCTATATATCCTAAAAATCTTTTGATATCAAAAAAAGCTTGTTATTTGTTATTGTTTTAAATAGAAATGAAATAGAATGATATTTTCAGAAAAGATGATATTTAAGTTAATCTATTATAGTTATAGAACGAATTCATATTTTTTAGGTATTGATTCAGCATTATTATGGAATAAATTAAAAAATTAGTAGAAATTAGTCTGCTAGTTAAGCAAATTATATTTGCCATCCAAAAAACATAATTTCTACAAACTATTAACTTCAGATACATAAAAAAAATTTTTTGCAAATAAATGTTTAAAAAATAAATATTAAAAAATAATTATGAAAATGAAATTAGATGTTTTTAAATTATATATATATATATATATACATGCAATTAACTGATAAAGAAAGATATCCTTTTTAAAGTTATACTTTACAGTACTGAAGCAAAAATGAAATAAAATATATATAGATACAATTGATGTCGCTTGTTTTCTTTACCCTTTAATCTTACTTACACTACAAATTGTTTTTTACATTTCGAAAAGATTTTTTGCAGCAAATATGATCGTGAAATTATACATGTAGATAGTATCTTCATTCATCGAAAATTGAGCAAATTAATGATAATGATTATGATAACGATGATGCACAATAGCTATCAGTTTCTCTTTTATAACTTGTTCGAATAATTATTTATTTGATACATTAAAAATAATACATTATTTCATACATTTAAAATTTTACGAAAAATAAATAATTTAATTAGATCTAGATGTTTGCTTCTAACGTGTTTTCTATCAGTAGAAATATATGGAACAAGAAATGACATTACTGAAGAAAGAATCAATGTGCAAATTAAATTAATTTTATATAAGATTTTATAATTTTTTATCGATTAGAGATAATTTATGAAACCACTTGATTTTCACAATTAAATTTAAATAGAATTTTTAATTTTAAATAGATTATTTAATGACAAATTAAACGATAATATATTTCTTATAATTTCTTATAGATGTAATAAAAAATTATTAACGATGAAAATTATATACTTGAATATAGTAAAGAATCAAGTATAGACCGATGGAAGGCAGAATTATAAAAAAAAGACGATCATTTCCGTTCATTAAAGACTCTTACTTAATCATTTTCAAATAAAAAGAAAATAGTTTGAAGAAACTTCCTGTTATGATACAACATAAAAACCGATATAATAATTCTAAGCAATTTTCTTTCGCTTCTTATTGATACAAGTTTATTGATTAAAAATTTTGAAAATAGTTAAATATCTAAATAAATCACAATAATGACATTATCACAATGTGATAATGATACAATATAATATTAATATTTATTCCTATATTTTTTATCGTATAAATTGTTTAGATTAAATGATAAAAAAATAGAAAATTGATAAATCTTTATATATTTATATTATCAATGAAAATCATTGCACAGTTGTTAGACAAGATTTAGATTTATATATTCCGTTTAGATTTATATATTCCGTTATATGAAAACTAGAAAAAAAAGTTATATTGGTCATTATAAACATCCAAATTATTACAAAATTATTTCACAACTGCAAAATTAGATAAACATTTTTATTCTTTCCTTATTTTTTCTGTTTCTTCTTTTTACATTATATAAAAATGAATTTTATCTGTTATAATTATTTTTTTAAAATGAAATAATAGAAAAAAACATATTAATTTTAATTTAAACTTCATATATATTTTATATGAATTCATTTATATTTACATATATTTTTAAATTTATTTTAATATTGTTAGTATACATATTAGTTATATGCTACAATATTACTATTATATAAGACAGAAATTACTAGTTAAATCTATTTCATATCAATTTTCTATTTATCGTTTACATCATCATTCATAATTTACGTAGAATATAAAAATCATTTCTTTTTGTATAATTCTGTCAAATTTCAAACAATTTCTAATCAATGTTTCGATACAAAGGATCAAAATTATGATAAATTGATATCAGTAAAAACTATCCGCCAATTAATCAAATAGATTGATCTATTTGCCGATCTATTTGAAATTATATATTCATGAGCTCCTTGAAAATCCTTGTTCTAATTCTTTGCTATGATTCATAATTAATATTTATCATGTTATAGCAATAGTATTAGTATCGGCAATAAACTTTTTTCTGCGAATATTATGTGAAGTTTATCGAATCGATATGCGATGAATCATCAAGTATCTTCAGATAATGCAGAAAAGTTACCTGTAAGCGCCCTCGAATAAAAAGACGCGTATCTTTTTTTGCTAGCAGAAAAAACTCACTCAATAATTTTTTATTCGTTTATCTGATGTATAAGGATAAGAAAGGAACATTTTGACATTCGTTACTGATTTTTATTATAACATTTTTCAAGCATTAAAAATATAAAACACGGATAACACGATCGACAATCTTTCTATGATTAATATTCCATCTCGTTAAATTTGTCATGCTTCATTCGACTAATTTAATATTAAAATTTACAATTAACATTCCATATATGACTATTTAAAATGCAATATATTTTATTAATATAATTATCTAATATTGTTAATCTTAACCATGGAAATATTTTTTGAAAAGTATATTACATTAAATCGATCATTGTATAAATATTGTTGTCGAACAATTGTATTATTTTTTATATTTATATATATATTTTTTTTGATAATTCCAATTTCTTTGAACAATAGAATCTTCACAATTATAATTTCCAAAATCGAGAAACAATTGTGTTATCAAAATGTTCCGTATACTGAATATTCAATACTAATACATAAATGTAATTAGATGTATAATATACATGCATATGGATAACTTTAACATTAGGAGAACGAAAAAAGACTATCATTCAATCTCTATATTCATTCGTGAAATCGTTCAATAATAAATATTGTTTCAAATTTTTCTAAGAATTAAATAAAAAAAAAATAATAAAAAAAAAGATAACTATAATTCCCGTAATAATATACGGTGGAATGTAAAATTTGGAACAACGTAAAATTTTTTCAAAATCTCACGAAACCTTAAACCTTATCATGCCACTCATTCATTTATCTCAGCATCTTTGTACATCCTCAAAAAACAAAATTTCACGGACTAAACCTGTAATCCATATTTAGAACATGACGCAGTTCGGTTAATTTAATTAAACGTGGTCACAATTTACAAGACGTTACAGTTTCAGTTTTCTGGCCTTTCGTTTTGGTGGCCCTTTCCCATGATCTCTTCAGCTGGAGCCTTCTACCGGCAACGAACATTCAATAAAACACGGATTTTAATGGGCTGAAACAATTAACTCGGATGAGTATGCTCTAAGAAAGTGGACAAAGATCTTTATGATCTTACGATCTCCTAGGAAACATCTGCATTTGTCAAGCGACTCTATTACTGCTTGAATCCTGGGCATTAAGCGACAGACGCGTTCACATTTAATTAGTGACAGATGGAACAATTTTATCTTCTATGTATTTTACTCGCAAAAGAAAGTGTTTTGTTGCGGGATAGGCTAGATTTGAAAATTTTTGTTTGAAAATTTATGAAAAGATAACTTGATTTATTGATTTTTTTTTTTCAGACATTCTTGTTTTTCAGCAAATTTTAAACTTTAATTGTTAAAAATTTAATTTAGATTCAACAGAATAAGCATTATTACTCGCTGAAATAATTTCGAACAAAGTTTACTTTAAGTGTACAATTAACTTTATTTAAAATGTTTGGACATTTATTCATAAACTATTATAGTTTCCGCTTTTTATCCGCTTTTTATATAATCTTTAATCTATCTTCTTCATTACAATTATCTGGTGATTCGATACTTTTAATAATAATCTATTGAAATAATTTTATCTTTAATTTGGACCGTTAAAATTT